TTTTTTTAAATAATGCTTTCACATGGCAGATGATATCCTAAGCAAAGCCAAACAACAAATAATAAAGAAAATAAATTATACTATGTCACCAAGAACTAATCTCCATACTAGATAAGAAACTCTTAAAGACTAAAAAGACCAACAATCCAATTTTAAAAAAAGGGTTTTTTTTAACAAAAGAAGAACTTCTCAGAAAAATGTAAATGATGCTTAAACATGTGCAAACACACTTCACTTGATTCACACATGAAAGATGCACATTTGAAACGACACTGAAATACCATATCGCACTTATCAGATGACACCCTCTTGTTGGCCAGCCTGTGAAGAAACAGAAACTCGTGCACTGCTGGTCAAAGGGTGAGTAAGCACACCCCTGTGGACAGGAATTTGGTGGCAGGTGAAAAAAAATCACATCCACCCAGGTTCTGAGAATTCACCCTTAAAAGACACCTCCACAAATACCAAGGGGAGGAAGAACATAAAGCTATTTATTGTGGCATTGTTCATAACGGCAAAACAGGAGAAATTATCTAAACTCCCATCCTTAGGCAGGTTAAATGGACTATGGCGTATCCGTGCAGTAGCACAACTACGTAGTCCTAAAGAACAGCGAAGATCTCGAAGAATTAATATGGAGAGATTACTACAACACGGTAGTAAATAAACAGAGCGAGATACAAAGGAGCATCTTATGGAAAAGAAAGAGAAATGAGAACACACACACACGCTTACTTCTGCAAAAAGTAACAGAGGAAGAGGAAGCCAGAAATTAATGAAAATGATTACATAGAGAAGTACTAAAAATTAACATAATAAGCCCACAATTATATGGTCACTTTACCTTCTACAAAGCAGGAAAGAATATCCAATGGGAAAAAGACAGTCTCTTCAACAAGCGGCGTTGGGAAAACCGAATGGCAACATGCAAAAGAATGAAACTGGACCATTTTCTTACACCAAACACAAAAACAAACTTGAAATGGATGAAAGACCCAAATGTGAGACCTGAAACCAGAAAAATCCTAGAAGAGAACACAGCCCATAGCAACCTTTCTCTAGATATGTCTCCCGAGGCAAGGGAAACAAAAGCAAAAATAAACTATTGGGACTACATCAAAATAAAAAAGCTTCTGCACAGCAAAGTAAACAATCAAGAAACCTAAAAGGCAACCTACTGAATGGGAGAGGATACTTGCAAAGGACATATCCGATAAAGAGTCAGTATCCAAAATCAGTTCTATAAAGTTCTATAAAGAACTGACACAACTCAACACCCAAAAACCAAATACAGTAAAACCTTGGATTGTGAGTAACTCATTCTACAAGTGATCCGCAAGACGAGCAGACATTTCTAATGAAATTTAACTTGATAAACGAGCAATGTCTCACAGTACGAGTAGGATGTGATGCTGAATGTCGCATGATCACAACCGAGCCAATGGTTCTCTCTTGCTGTGGGATTGTGGGTCATCGGCTCCCACACTCGGATGCTCGGTCTCAGGCTGGAGTGTTTGGCAGAAATCAGTGATTTTTCAGAACGTTGGAAGGTGCCCACAACAGGCATTAGTGTATTTTTTGTCACTTCCAAGCATCTCTGGACAGTCCTTTGCTTTTCCATCCAAGAGTGAGCTTAGGAATGCTTTGCTCCATTCTAGGTCAGGCTGCCTGCAGATAGAGACCCTTTCCTCTGCCTCCTTATTGCCAGTTACGCTAAATACAGTATAAGACTCTATTAATACCGTACTGTAGTCAACATCCATCAGTGATAGTGAAAGTCGTCCTACACAGTAACCCTCCTCTCTTGTCTCCCTCACACCACCATGAAGGTTTTTAAAAGTGAATGTTGTTTATTTTTCTTTATATTTTGTAGAATGAATCATCGGAGTTTCCACTATTTCTTATGGGGAAATTTGCTTTGATATACAAGTGCTTTGGATGACAAGCTTGTTTCCATAACGAATTATGCTCGCAAACCAAGGTTTTACTGTAATCCAATTTAAAAATGGGCAGAAGAGGGGCGCCTGGGTGGCTCCGTCGGTTAAGCGTCCGACTTCGGCTCAGGTCATGATCTCATGGTCCGTGAGTTCGAGCCCCGCGTCGGGCTGTGTGCTGACAGCTCAGAGCCTGCAGCCTGCTTCAGATTCTGTGTCTCCCTCTCTCTCTGACCCTCCCCCGTTCATGCTCTGTCTCTCTCTGTCTCAAAAATAAATAAAACATTAAAAAAAAACTTTTTTAAATGGGCAGAAGACACGAATAGACACTTTTCCAAAGAAGACATCCAGATGGCCAACATACACATGTTCATCGTCACTCCTCCTCAGGGAACTACAAATCAAAGCCACAATGAGATATCGCCTCACACCTGTCAGAATGGCTAAAACCAACAGCACGAGAAACAACAGGTGTTGGCGAGGACGTGGAGGAAAAGGAACCCTCGTGCACAGTTGGTGGGAATGCAAACTGGTGTAGCCACTGTGGAAACAGTATGGAGCTTCCTCAAAAGGTGAAAATAGAACCACCGTACGATCCAGTAATTGCACTACTGGGTATTCAACCCAATATAAACACACTAATTCAAAGGGATACCGTGCGCCCCTATGTTTATTGCAGCTTTATCTACAATAATCAAATTATGGAAAGAGCCCACACGCCCATTGATAGCTGAATAGAGAAAGCAGATGCAGTGGACATACACAATGGAATATTACTCAGCCATAAAAAAGTATGAAATCTTGGGGCATCCGGGTGGCTCAGTCGGTTGAGCATCCGACTGTGGCCCAGGTCATGATCTCACACTCATGGGTTCGAGCCCTGCATCGGGCTCTACGCGGACAGCTCAGAGCCTGGAGCCTGCTTCGGATTCTGGGTCT